ATAGGTTTCATTTTGTGGCCGGCCCTCCCCTCGTTCCTTTTTTTTTTTTTTTTTAAAAAAAAACTGTCTCACAACCCAGAGCAAACGAGTCCCTTTGGGTTATAAAGGGAAAGAATTGGCAAATGATCTAAAATATTTAGGCTTGCCTAGCGAATGATAGGAAAAAATTACTCTTCCTGCTTTGTGCCGCTTCCATCATTTCTGTAACTGCTCTAGTTTTTCCTGTATGGTTAATTAGACGTACCCAGGGAATAAGGTGGAATTGCTGAAGGCTTTGGGTTTCAAGGCTATTTTGTGAGGGTCCTACCCGTGAGCCGAGGTTGTGTTCTCCATGGTGGTATCCTGTGTCCTGCCCTGCTGTAGCCTGTGTGGCAGTGGAGGGGAGAGGTTCTCCTCATTGCGTGCTGGACTGGGATGTGTTGAAGATGCCACCAGCAGCTCTTCATGCTCCTTCTAGTCCATATTAGGGAACAAATCTGCACAGTGACAAAGAATAGTAAAGCAACGGGTGAAGCTGGGTGCAAGAGGACCCCTGCAGTTGGGTGAACAAGCAGGTTGACAAGCTGGGGACAAATTGCACCCTCTTGCTTGGATTGGGAAAAATGGTGTGTTTGGGATGCTATGGGAAAGCAAGGTGGATGTGCTTTGGTGAGTTCCTGCTTTTCCACTACACCGTTCCTCTTGTTCCCATGGGGAAAACAAGGCCTGGGCTGGGGCTGAGGGTCTCTGGTGTTGACCTGAGCCAAGAGGGCCACCTGGTGCAGCTCAGGACTCATCGTGACCTGTCCGGAGCCATCCTGACCTGGTACGTGTAGCCACACTCCAGGTGCAGAGTGTAGCCCAGCTAATCCACTCAGGGATAACTGGGAGATTACTCAGATGGATTTCTAATACAATGGCCTTTAATAATAATCCCCCTCTAATCCCTAAATCAATGGAAAATGGCTTTATCTGTGCAAACTAAATGGCCTGTGTAGGCATTTTAGGAAGAAGAATTCTTCTGTATCAGTGTGTGAATGTGTGTATTTTTATTCATGTTACCTGCCATTCTGACCCGAGTCTGTGTGTTTTGCTGGCAGGGACCTCATGCCCAGGACCCTGGAGGGACAGATCACCATGGAGAAGACCCCCAGCTACTTTGTCACCAAGGAGGCCCCAGCCCGCATCTCCTCCATGGCCAAGGGCACAAAGCTCATCGTGGTGGTGCGGGACCCCGTCACCAGAGCCATCTCGGACTACACCCAAACGCTCTCCAAGAAGCCCGATATCCCCACCTTTGAGAGCCTGACCTTCAAAAACAGGACTACGGGCCTGATCGACACCTCGTGGAGCGCCATCCAGATTGGCATCTACGCCAAGCACCTGGAGAACTGGCTCCTCTACTTCCCCATCGGGCAGATCCTCTTTGTCAGCGGGGAGAGGCTGATCAGCGACCCCGCGGGGGAGCTGGGCAGGGTCCAGGACTTTCTGGGCCTCAAGAGGATCATCACCGACAAACACTTCTACTTCAACAAAACCAAGGGGTTCCCGTGCCTGAAGAAGGCAGAAGGCAGCAGCAAACCCCACTGCCTGGGGAAGACGAAAGGCAGGACCCACCCCGACATAGACCAGGAGGTGGTGCAGAGACTGCGGGACTTCTACCGGCCCTTCAACATGAAGTTCTACCAGATGACGGGGCAGGACTTCGGCTGGGACTGAGGCTGGCGTGGGAAAGTCCCCTGTAATTACTTGCCCAGCACGGTTTGCTTATATAAAGAGATATATATGTATGTAAAATGTACAGAAATCTATTTTATAATAATTTATTTTTAATTCCTAAGCAATTAATTCACTAAGCTGCCTAACCGCACTGGCTAGAACGGTAGCCCGTAACCTGTTTAACATTCCACGGTGTTTAATTCTAATATGTTTCTCCTTTTTGTTTTTTTTTCTCCTTCTATTTTCTCCTTTTATTGGTTTGGTTTGTAACAGACGGTGCTTCCATTTTTCCTAAACGAAATTTGTATTTAAAAAAAAAAAAATATCAAAAAAAAGGGAGGGGGGA